ATGAAAAAAATGTGGCCGTTGTTCACTTCGTCAGTAACCGTTACATGTCTCCATTTCTTGCACCAATATCTTTGCAGACGCATGTCGTATCACTATTCTTAAAAGCTTGCGTTTTGAAAGAGGCAGCATTTCGCCAAAGGAATTTAAGCGTAAAATAGTCAGGAGAATCACTAAATCCCTTAGCTACCGAATCACCAAAGACGCTCACGGGCAGCCAAGTCACTCGATAGCACCTGAATTAGCTAAATTGCCTAGTCTCTGACTGCCTTACAACGGCTCATGATATTGTTTCAGGGTGCCCAGTTGAATGCGGGAGAGAGCAGCAAGATAATAGCACAATATGGTGCTGTCACTCCCGACTAGAGCAAGAATCGGAATGAAGATGTAGAAAGACGGAACAGAGAAGGGGGCAGAAGTGATGCCCTGGGGCTAGCGGCGCGCAGGTCAGGCCTCGAATAAACCAAGAGAAACAAAAAATAGCCTCATATACCCGTATCCACCTCATCGCCATTATGTTTATTTATCCTATTATTTCTTCTAAGGAACACATCACGAAAATCACCATCAGGACAAAATGGAATCTTTTTTCAGAAATCTTGAGCACAAATAGGCATTTGAGGTTAAATTCCGTTGCAACTATTTGCAAGCAACAGAAAAAAAAAGAATTTTCGAAGAGATGAAAAATTCTTCGAGCCAAGCGCTTTGGCCCATTTTTCGTGAGGCAAATGCCTTTCTATCTTGACAGCTGTGATATCTTAACTGAATTACTGTTTTCCAACTAATTTGGACGCTTTGTTACATTTATATATTTCATGTGGCACAACCGTTCCATCGTTTAAAAATATAATCTTGTCTTTTATTATTTACAGTAGTTACAAACAAAGAAATAAGCTTCAAAAGGGTAGAAAATAGAGAAAATTATGGCGCTGAAAAGTATATCGTAAAACAAAGTATTTCGTAAAACAGCGGAAAAGGAAAAAAAAACAAAGAAACAACGTCACACCTGGACATAGAGCGCCTTCGGAGGGTGTGTACTTAGGAGAAGGTTCACACCGTTTTCTCCGATGCCGGCTTGGAATTCCGCCAAACTGCTGCAGTACTCATTGAAAAACTCAATTTCTGCTTCACATAGATTATTCTGAACAAAAGACATTGAATGAGGCTAATTTTAAGTTTGTTGTAAGTGTAATACCTTCACTGATGCCGGCAACACTCCTCCTAACCGCCATCTATATGATCTTATCCTCTCGGCACGAGCGTGTATGTAAGCCAAGCAGCACCTCTAAAAACCGGAAATCGTTTTCGAGAGAAAGAACTCTCCAAAAGCTACGCCACGTTTTGACGGAGTAATTTTGTATGACGGAAGTGGCAACAGAAATCGTTTCAAAGGAAGGTCCTGTTGCCACTTTCTTCGGAATCCTCCTATCGAAAAATGTTTCGCGCTGCGAAACGCGCAAAAGCCGCTTTCTGTCTTAATGGCCACACCCCAGTCAAGGTAGCTGTGTAACTGTGAGCAGCAGATGGAAGCCGAATCAAGGTGCTAGTTGGTTCACCTCTACAATGCGAAATGTGACTTCTATCGTCGTCTAAGTCGATATTTTAAGTTAGTCACGCCCCTAAACCAACAAGGGGTCAAGCAGGCTCAGAGTTGGCACTCACCCTCCTTACACCGGTAACAAGACGTTGGTTTATTATTGCCCTGTAATTGCAATAAATATTATAACTTGACTATTGCATTGTTCTCAGTTGAGACAATCGGTCCGGATCCGGCACCATCACTCAGAAATTGGGTCATAAACAAGCAATCCACTGAACCACCCAACATTTTTGGTGCGAAAAGCCCATACATCAATATAAGTGGCACAACTTCAAAAAAAAAACACTAGATGATTCTACAAGAAACTTAGTCGCAGTCAACCATAATGCACTGATAACGACGCAAAAGAACCATTAGCAGAGCTCTAACAAACAATTTCGAAGAGCCACCCTTACCCGAATATGCTGCAGTGCCTCATTCCGACAAATCATCAAAGCTTCAAGTTCTCGGCTAGCCCGTTCTCCCTGCGATCGAAGGCGTGTTCTAGAAACATCAGCGTGGATTTGCTTCATCACTGCTACAAAAAGCAAACCACGTCCAGCTTTTTGAGGTGTCATGTGGTAAAAGGTAAAATCGGAAAGTACTTGCCTAATGAATAGCAGCAGTAACAAAAACACACTAATAGTGCTAGCAAACAATAGAAAAATCGAAGGACCTCTATGATACCCTACAGATTCATAACCGGGTCTTGATTCTGTAGCGGTTCTACTAATTGTAAGGAGATTCCGCTGACCATCGATGAAAGCTTTCGGTTTTTGACAGAGCCAAAAACAAGAATTGGACCACTTTGTTGGGTATTCCTAGTTAAGACTTTCTTACAAGTGAATGGTTTCAGTACTTGAAAGGCTAGATGTAGAAGTACCGGTAAAACTGACGAAACATTGCAGCAATATAACATGCCAGGTGGGTCCCTATCTAGCCGCGAGAGCGGCCAGGTCACCGGTTTGATCCGGATAACTTTCCAAAAAATGGTTCGTAAAATGAAGCAATAACTCACACGCATTCATTATTTTGATTATACAGCTCGTTCATTTTAGCGATGCACGCTCTCATCGCCTCTTCCTGGAACGGCAATAATCTACAACAATTAACTAATAGAAGAAGGAAGACCTACATTGTAAGGAGGCATAACGTCCGGATTCCTTTTCATCTGTGTTAGAAGAAGAAGGGCCTGATCAGCGACTCCTTCCAGATTTTCATTATCTGGAGCCATTCTGAAAATGTGAAAATGATTGGTCTGAATGGCCTATCAGATGATGATGATGATGATGATGAGGTGATGACCGACATGATGTTACAGTAAAAATGAAACAAGAGATGCAGGTGGAACGCCAGTGAAGAAAAAAAGCAAAAGGAACCATAAAAACACTAGAACCAAAGAGCTTCTCTTGAATGTGAACTTGATAGCAGTACGTCGGAAGAACAAGCGCGGGGATCAGAAGAAATATCGGAGAGTACGTCGAACGAGAGGGAGCAGACACTATGATGTGAACGAGCAAAAATGGTAGCAGTCGCGGCAGAAATAACCGTTCAAAACCACTGAGGTTTTTTTCTAATTACAGAGTCTTCTCTTTTATGAAACGGCGTACCACAGACCAGTATTCTGAGACCACTTCAGGGTTCAAAGTCCACGAACAAAATTAGCAACCCTCACAACACAAATACGTTTTTAACGACCGCGCTTTTAACATCACCATCAGGATCATTTTTACACTGTATACAGTATGCCTCCCCCGCCCCTTCCCCATCAAATGAGCAAAGAAAGGTATCATTGCACAGTAGTGTTTTGCTTCCCACGGTGATATGTACCACAATTGAAGACTCACTAACAAAATTGGGCGCAATGTGGCTCGGAGGGGGCCAGTCGCCGCGCGCGGCGTTGCGGCAACAGGAAATTCGTGAGCCAGGGGGAATGTAGCCAATTCAGGGGGGGGGGGTGAGGGCAGTCACTTAGCATGCGTGAGAAGCTGGAATGTTCCGTGAGAAGCTGGAATGTTCGAGTTACACTACATCGCTGAGCCGCGCGCGGCGACTGGCCCCCTCCGAGCCACATTGCGCCCAAAATTGGTATTAGATAGCATCAACAGCATTAAAGAGCACACGTATTATCGGCTTTCGACTTCGCCGCCACGCGAAGGTGCAATTACGGCTGGTAATGCTGCGGGAAACGGTTGCGGGCAGGGTCAACCCTACGTTGTTACTAGTAACAACGGGGGGTCGTACCTGGTTGAGTTTGTAGGAGGGGGGGGGTCGTATAGGTTGGGAGTTGGGAGCGCGCGGGAGAAAAATTTGCCGTTTCAGCGCGCGTATATACCCCCCCCCCCCCCTAGAAAATGAAGCAGTGGGATTATAGGTAGAAAGTAGGGGTAAATTGGTGGAAATTTAGGGAATTTTGGTAATTTTTACTGTTTCAGAGTGACTATATACCCCCCCCCCCCGCTCGACGGCATTTTTGGAGGAAAAAGTGGGCGGAGTTTGGTGGGTTGAGTGGTACCAGAATTAAATACTATAGAGAGGATGATGGTGGTCGAGGTGTCGAAAAGGGGGTCGTACCAAATCCACCTTGGGGGAGGGGGGTCGTAAAAATTTTTGAAAAAGTAACAACGATAGGACCGACCCTGGTTGCGGGGCAGTGGTCAACCAACGTGTGCGAGTCCAGACAGAAAAGCACATTGCTGGGACTAAGCCTTTCGAAGGAAGGAAAGAAAGCAGAGATGCTGTAATAGTGTGTATGTGCGAGAGTCCCAGAGAACACTACAAAACGCTGAATCACCAAGCCTTCCGGTTGACCATTGCCCTTAAACAGCGGGGAACTATACAAATGAGTGTTGTTCAAAGAATTGGCTCAAGTCGAGTGGCGGATTTGCTTAATCATTAAGGAATGAGTCACCAACCCAAACGCGGTTCTGACGTTTCTTGATACTTACTGTTCTCCTTGGACGTCTCAGCCAATGTAAACATCGCCATTACCACATTTTGATTGAAACATCAATTACCAGAATCAACCATGGCCAGGCGGCTTACCTTCCATCCGGAACCAAACATACAGGGTGCGCCAAAATTACGGAGACAGCGACTTCGAGTTGCCTAGGATGAGCGAGGTGCAATTCTTTGAAAACAAAAAGTGACGTGCACAGTCCCATTCT